CAAATTATGCCAAGGTCTTACATTTGTATGGAGGAAAGATGATGGCGGTGTCCATCAAATTGGCCAACAAGTGGGTAGTTTTCGAACACCCTTCTATTGATCACTCGAGTATTGATAGGTTTTTGGCACAACTTTTCTTATTCGATCGCATAGTAGTTAGCGGGTAAGAAAACCAGTAAGGGTGCACCGACTGCATAATGGCCAACTGTCGACCGTCATATGGCCTACAAGCGTGGGTCAATTGCTATGCGGTCGACATGCACACGTCAACAGCAAGCCGAGTAAAGATTTCATTTTTCATATTCAATTTTCGATCCTTAATTATTATATTTTGTTTTGTTGCTCGCCGCCATCCCCCTTGGTTAGGTCGAATTGTGGAGCCCCTTGGGTTACGTCGAATTGTAGAGTCCCTGGGCAATGTTGAATTGTATAGCGTGGGGTCTAGTAGTTTAGGGCCTTAACAAATTTTTTATTTTGAAGGCTCTTCATTATGATCTTAGATCGCTATCGAGCTTATAATCAATTTATTGCTTTTGTTCCTCTCCGCCTAGCCCCTGGGCGATGTCGAATTGTAGAACGTAGGGTCTAGTGGTTTATGGCCTTAACCAATTTTTGGTTTTGAAGGCTCTGCACTAGACAGTAGAACGCTATCAAGTTGATAACCAATTTATTGGTTTTGTTGCTCTCTACCTAGCTCCTTAGGGGATATCGAAACGTAGGGTCTAGTGGTTTAGTGCCTTAACAATTTTTGGTTTTGAAGGCTCTCCATTATAACAGTAAAGCGATATCGAACTTATAACCAATTTAATGGTTTTGTTGCTCTCCGCTTATTGCTATCTCGCCAATTATCACGTTTATCACTATGGCTTTGGGTGGGGGACAACCCTCAACTTTTTCCTTGCCTCCATCATTTCTCATATACTTAGTTAAAAGCCCTAGTCTTAGTGGCGCTCAGTCTCCTCATTAAGCTACATGCAATTTTCAGTATTGTGTTCATAATCTTTATAGAGATGACAATACTTGCGTTAGTTTATTTCGTTGGAAGACATCAACATTAGCTATGACCATTGGAGTTCTTTCATGTCTCGTATCTCCATCAACAACTATGCTCGCGAGGTGTTCAAATGAGTGAAGGCCTTAACCTGATATCGTCTCTGCCGATCTGCCGATCCTGAGGTATCTTGACAGTGCATGTTTAAGACACATGTGTGGTGACAAATCTTTGGTTTCTTCACTTGATGAGTAGAATGCTGGTGTAGTTACATTTAGTGATGAAGCTACTGCACCGATACTTGGAAAAGGAGTTGTAAGTATTGCTGGACTACCTGCCATCTCAGATGTGCTGTATGTGAAAGGTTTAAAGTCTAATTTGTTACGTGTCGTCAAATTTGTGATGCTGATTTTGA